AAGGAGGGGATGGGGGCAGACACCCACCCTGGCCTGCTAGATTTTGGGTGCCGGGACCCCTCTGCCAGGCAGCTCCCACCCAGCTGCTTCATCGGCTCAGGGTGCCTCACCCCAGCTGAAACTCCAGTTGTGACCGTCCCAGCGTCCCCTTGGCTGCCGCCCCGGCCCCTGGCAGATGACAAAGCCTTTCCTTATGCTACCCCCCTAGGATACACCCCCAAAATGCAGGCGAGTAGCCGGGCGCTGGCGGTGAGCAGCACGGCACTGAGCTTGGCTCTGGTAACACCATCCCCTGTGTTTTCAAGGCAGGTCTTTGCCTAACGGTCACAGCCGCAAGGCTCCGCAGCCGAGCACAGTGAGACAGGGTTCCTACACCACAGCTGGGGCATGGCTGCCGGCATGCGGGAGGGGAGCGGTGGGACGACGGCTTCCCTCAGACACAGCAGGCAAGATTCATTTCCCCTTTTGGATAAAATGCCCTTCAAAGCGAGAACAGCTTTCAGGCACACAGTTCCCGTTTCTAAAGCTCTGCCCCGACATCCCTTCCCCAGGCATGTGGCAAAGCGGCTCTGCAGCTTCGCCTCCCAGTGTCACGGGCTCTGCCACACTCATGGGGAAGCGGAGATGCCAGGCAAGCCCCAGCAAGCAACCGGTGCCCCCCGCTGCTGCCAGCAGCCCCGCAGCAGCTGGGACACCATGCTGGGCAGGGAAATGGGTAGACATCACCACCGCAAGCTACCGCAATGGCTCCGGCAGACTACAACTGCTACTGCTCTCCCGGCATGTCTGGGTTACCTATTCAGAAGTTAATTGAGTACCAGAAAGAGGTGCTAGTCAGAAAGATTATCCACAGAGCAAGTAGAGAAGCACAAGCTACACCCCCCCCCCTTCCCCACCCCACCCCTCACCCTGCATGGCTCCTCCGGGCTCGGAGGAGAGGCTTCTCCCGGGTCCCTTTTGGAAGCAGAGGTGAGCCAAGATGCTTCCAGGCTGTCTTCCCGGCTGTTTCCTGTTTTCACGGTGCTCACCCAGCTCCGCTGCTCTACCCCTGGGGAAGCCACAGGCCAGATCCTGCTGCGTTTGGCTGGGGAGCATCGGCAGGAGGTCACCTCCACGGCAAAAAGGGCCCTGGCACCTCTCCCCAGCTTGCCTTGCCTCCTGCAGCTCACTCCTCCCACCCAGCCAAGCTGTTCCTCCTCTGCCCAGGCTGGTGGGCAGCTGATGGTGGGAGTCTCGGCTCTCCATCCCAAACGTGTCCTTGTGGAACGACATCCAGTCCGGAAGAGAAGGATGGAGGGTTCTGGGAGAAGCTTTTGACCCACAGAGGCCCCTCACTGCCCCACGGCTGTCTCTGGGTCTGTGTGTCACCCACTGAACCTGGAGGCAGGAGCAGGCAGGCATGCCGTTGCTGCGCCTGCTGCACGATGGAAGAGGTTTTTAAGCCAAGGGATCCTGGATCCCGAGCTCCTCCTGCTCCCTACAGCCTGTGCAGCCGCAGCAGGAGCAAACGCTGCGGATCCTGGGTCCTGTCACTGCTCCTGAGCTCCATACCCTCTATAGATTTGGTATGTTCATGAGACAGAAAGCTCACACGGCACATCTGAGTCCACCTCCTGCTTCACCCCATCCGATACCCGCCTGTAGGGTCCTCTGAGTCTCCTGTTCCCAAAACCACCACGTTCCTCCCGAGTCCCCACCACCACCACCATGTCCTGGCAAGCACCACGAGTCCCAGCTTGCGGCCTTCCCTCGGCACTGTCCTCATTTGGTCAGCGATCGGTCCTCAGCGTGAGCCGCCGCTGCTTTAGGTTTGGTGTCTTTTAGTGCAAGGCTGATGAGGTCCAGTCCCTCGCCCCAAGGCAGGTTTTCGGCAGCCTGCGCAGGCATTACAAGCAGCTGGGGCACGGCGAGGGTTTCTCTTCACCGTGCGCTCTCTCAGGCACTCTCAGGACTCGCTTCTCCTCAAAGCTTCTGCCGCAGCCACCATACTTGCACCAGAGCTCCGCTCGGCAGTCGGGCTGGGGCTTCAGGAGCAGCTGCCGCTGGCTCACGCAGTCAGCACAGCAGCACTGCGGTGGCAGGCTCGGCGGCTTCGGGCTCAAGCCTTCCCCCCCCTCGCTGCACTTACAGGGGCACTGCCCTGCGGGTCCCTCCTGCGGGTGGTGGGAGCCAGACACGAGGTGATGGTCTTCCTGCATCAGCTGTAGGAGGATGTCTGCTGCCCCGGAGGGGCTCTCTGGTCTGTTGGGGGGCTGCGTTCCTGGCCGAAGCTCCTCCCGAGCCAGCGATCCATGAGCAGCTCCACGAGAGCAGGGGGGCAGCAGCATGCTGGGGGGGTCAGACCCCTTTCCCAGGGGTGTGCTGCTCCCATCCGACTCCTCTGGGTGCGCTGGGCACGTCCCCTCGCAGCAGGAGGGCGGGATGCCGCCGGTGTGCGTCCTGCGGTGCCGGAGGAGGTGAGCCTTCTGGCTGAAGCCCTTCCCGCACTCGGCGCAGCGAAACGGCCGCTCGCCAGTGTGGGTCCTCTGGTGAACAGCCAGATTCACCTTCTGCCGGAATCGCTTCCCGCACTCGGCGCAGGCATGCGGCCGCTCCCCGGCGTGGCCCTGCCGGTGCAGCTGCAGCTCCCCGTGCTCCTCAAAGGTCTCCCCACAGAGTGAGCAGGGATAGGGGCTGCCAGGGTGGGTCTGCAGGCCAGGGGCCTGGCCTGGCTCGCTCTGGGGTCTCTCCGCTGCGTGCACTCGCTGGTGGACCCGCAGGGAGAGCTTGCTCTTGAAGCGCTTGGGACACTCCAGGCACGTGAAGGGCTGCCTGCCGGTGTGGGTCTTCTGGTGGGCGATGAGGTTGGGCTTCTGGGCAAAGCGCTTGCCGCACTGGGGGCAGGCAAAGGGGCGTTCCCCCGTGTGCGTGCGGTAGTGGGTCACCAGATTCCCCTTCTGGTTGAAGCGCCGGCCACAGACGCCGCAGGTGAAGGGACGCTCCCCGGTGTGGATGCGCTGGTGGGTCACCAAGTTGGTCTTCAGGCTGAACCTCTTCCCGCAGACATCGCAGCGGTAGGGCCCTCTGCCCCGGTGGTTTTGCCGGTGCTTTACCAAACGCTCGTACTGGGCAAAGCTTCTCCCACACTCGGGGCACACCCAGGCCCTCCCCTCCACCTGCTTCTCCTGGGAAGCTTTGGGGGACAGCTCATCACCGGAGCTTTTGTCATGCTCAGGGCACGGGTAGGACTTCTGCCCGAGGTGGGTCTTCTGGTGGGCCACGAGGGAGAGCCAGAGGCCAAAGCTATTGCCGCACTGGTTACAGATGAAGGGCTTCTCTACCCCGGGGGCCGGGGGAGCTGGGGGGGTCGCATCCCCCAGGACAGGCTGCACCCCCAGGTGCCCCAGGAGGTGTGGGCCGTGGCTGAAGGCTGCCGTGCACCCACCGGGAGCCTCGGCGGCAGGGCTGTGCTGCGGCCGGAGGAGAGTCACCTTCTGGCAAAACCCCTCCCCGCACTGGACGCAGGGGAAGGTCTGCTCACCCAGGGGGGCTTGCTGGTGCGGCAGGAGCGACTCCTTGGGGGGAAAGCTCTTCTCTGTACATGAGTACAGCTCTTGGCCCTCAGTGATCTTCTGAACGGGCAGCGTTGGCATGGGGCTGAAGGGGGCCTCTGGCTCGGGACCACCGGGCTGGAGCAGGGTGGGCGCAGCCCCATAGGGCAGGCCGGTGGCCGGGCTGCGGCCCGGGCAGCGCCGCTGGCGCGGGGCGTGAGTCTTCTGATGGGCTTTGAGGGAGACTTTGTCCTTGAAGCACTTCTGGCACTGCCCGCAGGGATAGGGACGGAGGTCTGTGTGGGTGCTCTGGTGCGTCACCAGGTTGGTTTTCTGGGTGAAGCGCTTGCCGCACTGGGTGCAGGCGAAGGGGCGCTCCCCCGTGTGAACGCGGTAGTGGGTCACCAGATTGGTCTTCTGGTTGAAGCTCCTGCCGCAGAGGAAGCAGGTGAAGGGACGCTCCCCGGTGTGGATCCTCCGGTGGGTGATCAGGTTGGGCTTCTGTCGGAAGCTCTTCCCACACTCGGGGCAGACGAAGGGGGTGTCCTCCTGGTAATTCCTCTGCTGGGATCGCAGCTTCGGCTTGCTGGAAGTGCCGTCCTCCTGCTCACCCCCAGCCAGCGCCTTTTCCCCGGCAGCGTGGATCCGCTGGTGGGCCAGGAGGTTGGCCTTCTGGCTGAAGCTCTTGCCGCATTGGGCACAGGGGAAGGGGCGCTCCCCTGTGTGCACGCGGCGGTGGGTCAGGAGGTTGGGCCGCTGGCTGAAACTCTTCCCGCAGTCCCCGCACCTGTAGGGTTTCTCTCCGGTGTGGATCCTCTCGTGTGTGATGAGGCTTTGCTTCTGACGGAAACCTTTCCCGCACTGGGCGCAGCGGAAAGGGCCGGCGCCAAGCTGCGGCACCCAGCAGGCCACTCGGGTGGACAGCGGGCTGAGGCTGGCGGTGCCATCTCTCTCCATGCCCGCCCGCTCGGGTGCACGCTGCCCACCATGAAACCAGCGGCTGGAACTGCTGGCGGCTGCAGGATACAGCTCCAGGGAGCCGGCAGCTCCCCCGGGTTTCTCCTCGGGCTGTTCGACTTTATTCACTCGACCGGGCTCAACTAGATTTCAAAAAGATTCAAGATATTAATTTCAGAGTCTTTCATACAATCGCAGAACAGCTCAAGTTAGAAGGGACCCATAAGGATCAGCGAGTCTAACTCCCTGCTCCTCACAGGACTACCTAAAACTAAATCATTGCAGTTTATAACACCCTAAAGGAGCAGAACCCTTCCCAGAGCCCACTCCACCCCTGACTCGCCGAGAACAGCACTGGCAGCAGCCACAATAGCAAAAACTTGCCATTAACTGGCCCAAAATGGCTGCAAGCTGCCAAATGGCCTTTTCCCACAAGAGGAACATCCCTCGCCAAGGCCGGTTTCCCACTGCTCCCACAGCCTCCGCTGGGACATGCGGAGCACCTACCCGCACAGGGGCTCACGAGGATCTTGCTCTCCTCCTGCATCTGTTGGCCTTCGGTATATGGCTCCTCCGACTGTTTAATACCGAACAAACCACCGGGCTTGAAAAATCTGTAGCCTGGTTGAAGGAATAAGAGCTGGTCACCATGAACTGTCACACTGCAAAACATGCGTTCGGCATAGACATCGTTACGCTGGAGATGCCTGCGTTAATTCACAAATAAGCTAAAATTAACGAAGCCTGGGGGCATCGCTTTCATCTATTTTAAGCTTCTGCTGCCTGATGTATAATTAAAGATAAAAGGAAATACCAGCACCAGGCTCCCTCCTCCTGGCAAGGCGAAAGGTGGGAAGGAGTGCCAGTCCTTGGAAAACAACTCTTTCCAGAGTCTTTCGCACGCTCAGGTAGCCTTAGATCCCGCGTAATGGTTTTATGATCGGATTTCAAAGGCTACCACAAAAATGCGATTAGTTCCAACCTGAGCCTCCCAAGCAGAAGAGAAATCTCCATCTTTAGCAGAGGAGCTCGGCTGGCAGAGAGGCTGAAGGACCTTCTCCAGGCTGGGGATTCCTTGCAATGGTGCCACATTTGCTTAATTTACATACGATCTGTGCATCACCCACTGCGTCCCCCCACCATGGTCAAGAGCAGTCAGGCGGACTTGGTGTTACCGCAGGACTGACTGTACTCTGGAGAATACACAAGCCCCCGCCCTACACTGGCAAAGCCTGCCCGGCGCAGTGCTGCCTGTCTGCCGCTCACTGTTCTCGGTGGTCACCTGTGCAGGGGTCGGACGGGATCTCCGCGCTGACAGCATCCAGCTCGTGTCCGGCTCTCGGCCCCTCGCTCAGCCTGGGGTAAGGGAGCAAGTTCAGGGCGTGGGCAGGCTGGTCCAGGAGAGAGGAGAAGAGTTTCAGCAGATGGCCATCGCTTTTTGGGGGCTTGTTTCTTTGGGTTTTTTGGCCAGCAGGACTAGGGCAGTGATCGTCTTCCTGTACTCAACACTGGTGAGACCACACCTCAAATACTGTGTTCAGTTTTGGGCCCCTCACTACAGGAAGGACATTGAGGTGCTGAAGCGTGTCCAGAGAAGGGCAACAAAGCTGGTGAAGGGTCTAGAGCACAAGTCTTATGAGGAGCAGCTGAGGGAACTGGGGTTGTTTAGTCTGGAGAAAAGGAGGCTGAGGGGAGACCTTATTGCTCTCTACAACTACCTGAAAGGAGGTTGCAGTGAGGTGGGGGTTGGTCCCTTCTCCCAAGTAACAAGTGATAAGAAGAAACAGCCTCAAGTTGTGTCAGGGGAGGTTTGGATTGGAGATTAGGAAAAAATTTTTCACCGAAAGAGCTGTCAAGCACTGGAACAGGCTGCCCAGGGAAGGGGTTGAGTCACCATCCCTGGGCGTATATTTAAAAGACATGTAGATGTGGCGCTTAGGGACATGGTTTAGTGGTGGATCTGGCAGCGTTAGGTTAATGGCTGGACTCGATGATCCTAACGGTCTTTTCCAACCTCAGTGGTTCTGTGACCGAAAGGACAGGCAGTGGGCTTTCAGATCAGCACCCAACACCCATGGGCCCCCACCAGTGAGATCTGCCCCACAGTGAGGTGTGTGCCTTGCCTGGGGCTGACAGGCACGCCACACTGCTTTAAACACTCAGGCCCTCAGAAAGCCCTTGCACCCCCTTGAACCTGAACTTGAGAGATAACGGGGTCCTGGCTCAGCAGGATCACCACCAAGGCGTTCTCCATGGACTCCAGATCCACAGGAGCACAGCCAGGAGAAATCCTGGACCCCTTTCCCTGCAAAGGGCTGGGAAAAGCTGTTCCGGCACTGGAGGAAGGGCTGATTCTGCCCAGCACTGCTGCCCCTGAGCCCCTGCACACAGCATGTCAAAAGGCAGCTCTAATCCTTCAGGAAAAGAGCAGGAGCAGGGAGGTACAGGCAGAGTGAGTAGGCAGAGGTGTGGGAGGGCAGGGCTCTGGACAGGCACCAGGGCTCGGAGTGACACCTCCTGCTTTTCCGCCGACTTATTTTGGCACAGGAAAGCTGCTTCTCCTCTGTGCCTCAGTTTCCTTATCAGCGAGAGCATCGCTTGACAGAAACCCTCAGGTGGAGCTCACTAAGGGCTGAAGCCACACGCTCACTACCCCCTCTAATGAGATCCCTTGGTTCCAAGCGGATCTCTCACCTGGGTGTGATCACCCAGCCAGGATCGAGACCAAAGGAGGAAACCTCTTTAAGGAGCCAAAGCAGCTTTTCCCGGGAAGCTCGGCACCCAATCCGCCCATCTTCCCTCCCCAGGATTCCTCTCTTCTTCCCTCAGAACTCCTCCATAGCTTGGCAGGAGCGCAAGGAGAGCAGATGGCAGAAGACACGGAGCCCAGCCTGCGCTCCGGCGGCTGCCGTAACTTTAAGAAGCGCCAATTTAAAAGAAAAAGTCTCGCACAGGGCTAACGCGGCTCCTCGGGTGTCGGTATTTCTAAATGACGAGGAGAAAAGCACCAGAAGACTTCCCAGCCCCTGGGAAAACCCCAACAGGGCCCCCCCCAAAATGTCGCAGCATGAAAGAGGAGCAGGGGTTCCTCCCAACCGCTCCGGCAGCACGCTCTGCTCTGCCACAGAGGAGCACAGTCAGAGCTGGTCCCGCTCTGGCCTTTCCCCCAGGGACGGAGGGGAAGCTGCTGCCTGCCCCCACCCTGCGGCCCTGCACATACCTGGGGTGCTCCCCCTGCAGACATCGCTCCCCTTGGGGCCGCCCGGCGAGGGGAGAGGACATCAGCTCCGGGGAGAGCGTGGGGCGGCGGCTGTCCTTCCCCTCCGCCTTCCGCCACGGTCGCGGGCTCCGATCTTCCCCGACTTCCTCCAAATGGCTGCTGCGGGTCCCTGGGAGAGTGAGAGAGAGGAGCCGGTGAGCGGAGGAAACGGCGCGGCACAGCGAGAGGCAAAGCTGGAGGAGCTCGACCGCCTCGGGAGAAGCTCCGCTGGCGTCTGTATCCCTCCTCCTCCTCCGAGTTATTTTAGGGGAGCGGAAGGCACTGACCCCGGGGTCTGGCCCGGATTCATTCTGTTTACAGCAAAGCTTCCCTGCAGGCAGCGCTACTGGGATTTGTAGTTCACACCGAGAGGCCTGTCACCACACGCCGAGCGCTGCCTGCGGCCGTGGGCATGGGGAACTACAGCTCCCAGCAGCCTGGAAGCCAGCCCCGGCGTGGCCTCACCCTGCCGCAGCGAGCGGGCAACGGCAAAGGCACAGCCCTGCCCGCTCCTGTGCTGTGGGGAAGTGAGGGTTGCCCAGCCCGGCTCTGACCAACCCCCTTGCCAAAACCCGGTCTGAGATCAACCAGCAAAATGCCTTCTTGCTCAATTTTGGTTGGAAAGGAACGCCTCACCCACCTTTTCTGAGGTGCCTGGTCTGTTCCCTCCTCTCCAAGCATCCCGTGCCTTGAGGAGGCAGCTAGCGCAGTGACGATGCTTCAAAGAAGGGCCTGCCCCCCCATGTGCAAGTCTCACATCACCCTTTGAAAGCCCTGGCAGCGATCGGGATGCTTTGACGAACACCTGGGCTCAATTAGAACTATTTTTGGAATCTGGCCGGCGAGAGGAGTGCCGGCTGCGGAGCCGTGCAGCATGGGAGCCGGCTGGGATCCTAACCCTCCCCAGCAGCGTACTGCGTTCAGGGGTTTGGGATCCTCTGGTATGGATGCCCATCAAGGGCCACGTCCCAGGGCGCTGTTACAGCAGCGGGGACGCAGCTCTGCGCCGCGTGAGGCATTGTTAGCCCCTGATCATTAAGTCCCACCAAGCACTGATGATCCTGTGGCTAGCTCAGGCAAGCCGCAAGCAGCCCCACCAGCGCCTTGTCTACATGTTTAACTGAGCCGCATCGTTCCCTGGGGTGTTATGGACACGGCGCAGCCAAGGAGAGGCAGGAACTGTGTGCCGGGGCGGGGCAGGGTGGGGGAATTCTCCGAGGCTCCCCCGGGCCGGGGGCAGAAGGCGGCAGGGGCGCAGGCAGGGCCTGGAGCCTGCGCAGCCTCGTGCCCATGGCACAAACTCGGCCCCTCGGCAGTGAGTGAACCCCACCAAGGGCACCCCAAATGGAAGAGCCAGCTCGGGGGCAGCAGAGGGGGAGAACCCCCATCCAAACCCATGAAAATCCGCCCCCGCCCTGGCCTCAAATCCGTTTACAAGCCGGGAGGCCCCGGGTTGGCGGGCAGCCGCCTGCGGGCAGGCTCCCGTGGCGCAGGCAGGCGAGGAGAGGGGGCCGGGGCTGCGGCGATGGGCGAGAGGCCGCAGAGGCGGGTGGCACGGCGGCTAAAATCCGGAGAGGGGGTCCAGAGTGGCCGGTTGCTGCTGGGTCGTGGGGACAGGGCGGCGGCAGCGGTGTTCTCCGTCGGTTTTCCAGTCCCAGATCCCGTTTCTAACAGCCCTGGGAAATCACGAAGCTTTTCCCGCCTCTCCCTCGAAGGCGAACGTGGCGAGGGCACGGCGATGGCGGGGGTGTGTGTGTGTGGGGGGGCACGGCACGGCGGTACCGGCAGCGTCGCCCACCCCCCGGCGGGGAGCCCTGCGGCCCCGCGGGCACCGGCAGCCAGTGCTGCCCGGCGGCAGGAGGCCGTTACCGCGGCGGGGCTGTCCCCGGGTAACGGTTTTACCGAGGAAAACCCCCCCTTCCCCCCCACTCCCCCCCCAGGTCTCACCGCTCGGGGCCCCTCACCGTG